GCTCAGGAATAACTATTATGACTATAACAACAACAACGCTATTTATATACTGTGCCTATCCTCTCTTGGTCAGAGAAAACATAAATGCAAAACAATAAGCAGGTATTTGCCACTTAAAATAGCAAATGAACAAGGAACAGCCAGGGAAGGAAAAGAGTGGCTCCCACCTCCTGCCATAGCATGTGGTAGCCCTACTCCCAGCTCAGGGCCTCACCACCCTCCTGGCAGCAGGAGCAGAGGGATGGGATGCTCGATGCCTCCTGCCAGGGCAGGCCCCAGCTCCTGTGAGGGGAGGAAAGAGGAGACGTGTTCCTCTGCAGGGCCACCATCACAATGCCTCTGGGCCCCTTCCAGTTCCGATGGGATTGATTATTTAAGGCTGCTCAGATTTGCAGTAAGGGAGCTGGTTAGAAAACCTCTCATAGAGTTGCCATCTGCATTTAAACTCGATAAGTAAGTCAGGCACAAAGGTTGATGGGGCAAGTGGTGAAGAGAGGCTGCAGGTTTTGATTTTTGAAAATCACTTTTAAACAGTCATTCCCCTGTGACGATTCTTTATAGTCACACTATGTATTAAAATAGGGGTGTAAGCCAGAAAAACATGCAGCATACCGTCCTCTGTAGGCACCCAACAGTGCTAAGAGCAGGATGGAGGCAGCGGTATCTGCAGCCTCTCAAGAATGTCTTCTGCTCTTTTAATAGTTCTCCTTGGGGGGGTGTGGAGGTTTGTATCACGTATCTTTCTCCTGTTGCTGAATCAAAAATAGTACACTGAGTCATTTGTTAGAGGCAGTTAGACAGTCACCAGCCATGCTGAGCACGCGTCCCACCACCCACTCTGGTCCAGCTTACCCAAGGCTTCCTTCACACAAGGGTCTTCTCACCTCAAACAGCAGCTTTGCTTGAGTAGGGTCTGCAGCACTGATTAAATCCCTCTTTCTGCTGCAGCACATGCTTTCAGCAGGTTGGCAGATTATGTCCTTTGATCCAAAAATCCACAGAAATGGGTGGGAATTTTTCTACTGCCTTCCAGGAACCTTGGGTGAGGGCTGTTGGGGTTGAGATGTCCACCTTGGAATGGGGCAGCTGGCCCTGGATGAATGCAGAGCCACACAGGAACATGTACCGCAAAGAACATTGACCCTGCCCATTTTTAGTGGCAACACCAGTATGACTTTGAGCATGGGGAGAGAGAAAGGTGTAACCAGGGAGCCTAAAATGCAGTGAGTTTGAACCTTCTTCTCTTCTCCCTCAACCCTAACCTGCAGAGCTAAACCACTTTCCCTTCCACAGGACCTGCAAAATGAATAACAGAAAACTAAACTGTGGTAATTTATTAATATCCAGTTCCTAGGAATAGATATTTCCATGCATTGTACAAGGAATCACTGTGAAAGTTGCAAGCTTGGCAATTTCACAGAGGTTTTTGGGTTTCTAATATCTATTTTATTTTTGCATTTTATTTCCCAAAGCACTCTTGTGCTTTATCCCAAATCAAAAGAGTCTGTGCTAGCAGACCTACAATAATTACCTTTAGAGGTGACCTATGGACAAGGAGTGGAAGAGGAAGGAAAACATGAAGAAATTAATTCAGTTTTCAAAGAACTATTAATTATTCATTAGATTGATATTATTAACTATTAATAAATAACTAACCGCAAGAATCAGTCGCCACAAAGCCCTCCTAACACTGCTGCTTCCAACAGGGCTCTGTTGTGACTTGTACCTTGCTCAACACACAGCAATATTTACCCACTGGATCGAGCAATGCTGATCATGCCCAGCCTGCAGTCTCGCCTTTCAGGGCACATTGAATTTTGACATTGACCCCATTGCTAATCTATGCTAGCATGTAAATCTTGGCCTTGTTAAAGACTTTTATACTAGCCTCTCATATCTGCTTTTTAGGTCTCGGATCTCTCATCTCAGCATCATCACACCTTTGCTGGTGTGAAGGGCTTCAAAAGAAAATAGTTTATTACTTCTTGGCATTGTCTTCCCACTGTGTGTGTGACTTGCGGATTTTAAATGTATTTATTTTGTGTCCCTGACCCTCTTTTCCCTTAATATGCAGCCTCTTGAGTTCACTTCTGGTTTGTATCTCTTTTACAGGGAGATTTTCCTGTTGAAGTACACTGCTATAATACTATACTTATCAGGTGCCTTGGAGAGAAAAAGACAAAGTCAGACCTTGTTATACTCTAATTTTGTATACGTATGTCACTTGATTTCATTAGGAAACACAACATGAAACTGATACACCCAGTGGCTATGTTCTCACCAGCAGTCCCTACAAGTATTTTAAAACTATGGCATATAATATGTGTTCCCCAGTCTCTGTTTCTGATTAATAAGCTCTGTGATCCTTCTGTCCATCCAAACAGCGTAACAAACTCCAATTCGAATGCACTAAACAGTGTGAACCATGAGTATAAACTGATAATGGTCTCCAGACTCTGAAGCACATGAAAGGCAATTCCACAGTTGGTTCCATACCCCAAATTCAGCAATGGGTCGCTACAAAACCTACAGCTTCCCACTCTTGTGTCCATGTCCTCCCCTTGGTCAGGGCAAGCCCCGAGCATGTAGCCCCCAGCTTCCCTCACACTGGTTTCTGTGCAGAGGAAATGTGGAGAGGTAGCAGCGGTGGGAGCCACAGCACGCTCCCCCCAGCTGCTCAGCAGGGCCCCAACTGCGATACCACCTACCAAAAAGCAGACGTAGGCTGAGAGAGAAAGTTCAAAAGCCCACTTACTTTGGACTTCAACTATGGAAAACACAGCGTTTGTTCATTGCTAAGAATGAGGACTGTTCTACGTCAAATGGTAGCACTGACGCCTTCTTTGGAACCTTCCTACAGAGAATGGGGGCGGTCAGCATGAGTACAACTTTAAGAACAATTTCAGATATCTGTGTTCCCAAATACTTTGTAAATGACAAAATGAAAGGATCCTCACAAAGAAGTAATATCCCTAGTACAAAATAAATACACTTATTCTTCCTTGCTCTGCCCCTGAAATGCTTCTGAATATTTTAAATGGTGAAAGAACAGAAGAATTTAAAATTACAAGAATCCTGAGATTCAAAATCACCAACACTTTGATTGAAATAATTCACTATGGTGAAATCCTGCCTTCCTCATAATATTATGATACCTATTTATTGCAAGACTTCAGAAAATTAGGCAGATTCTTGTAGAAGAAGTGACATAAAAAATGGTCCTGAAAGCAGCCCAGCGAATGCAAGCTGTTTCTTCCCATTTTCCCCTCCCATCTCACAGTGAACAAAGAGAATTTTCTACCTCTCTGTAGCACGGATTTCCCTGAGGGAAAAAGAGGCTTACATCAGTTCCTGAAAATAGTTGCAGGGTAGTGCTACTGAAATCGCTTCATATTTAGGTCAAATCTTGCCAAGAGCTTTAAAACGCTACCATAGCTGAAGAGGTTTTATGTGAGAACCTTGAGGTGTTCAATCTTACACATTGAAATAAGGCACTAAGGAGGCTAAGGAGAAGCCAACGATTTCAAGCCTCTGGAAAGCTAACTCTAATGTAAGAATAGAGCAGTAGTATTGTGACAGGTGATAAAGAACAATGAACTTTCAAAGGAACAAAGGTGTCTAGGAGATGCAAATAGCTCTACTGTAAGTGCCCCTCCAATGGGTGATGGAAGAGAGGCAGTAAAAGGGAAAGTTGGAACATAATGAGAAATTAGACTCAGTCTTACAGAAGAAATTTAATCAGCAAAGGCATTTAATTATTCCCTATTTTAAAAAATAGGACTTTTAATGATTACAAATATAAAATATGCTTGTCCAGATTTTCTCTGCTGACTACTTGTTAATGCTAGTTTACTGTCTTTTAATTGTGAAACACATACCACATTTTTAGAGCTGTTCACAGAATAGTATTGGTGTATTGGGAATTTGGAAACGGAACAGGCATTTATTCTCTTAACTGGCAATCTGATAATGCTGATAAAACTGAAATACCTAACTATTGAAAACATAACTATTATTTTATCATTTTAAAGCAACCTTTGATTTCAGCCAAACAATATTTAATTTCATTATAGATGCCTGAAAATATTCCATAGTCAATATGGAAGTTTTGTCACACCTTTGAATGAGTTTTTCATATTGTTACACTGACAAGGCATCAAAAATTTGCCATATTATTGCCAACACAAACCATTTCAGGTGTCTGTCATGAACTACATAACACACAAGAGCTTGATACTAGAAGCCCTTTGAATAATTAAGTTTGAAAGTAACTTGGTGCCTCTCTGCACAGCTTGTGTAACCAGGTGTTGGATCAGTTTTGTAATGCTTATTTAGGTTTTATTTGGACAACATTATCTTTTTTCACTGGAGTGGCAGTTTGCCCAGTTAATAGCACAGTGTAGTTAATACTGCTGCTATCTCCTAATAACCCTGCATAGAAATAAATATTGCTGCTGTTACTAATATCCCCAGATAGAGGATTTGCCGGAGTGTGCTAAGGGGAATTGCTCCTATTGTTTGTCACTGTGGAACTGAGGGGGTGAACATGGCTCCTTCATGTTTACCGGTAAATGCCAGATTTTGAATTCAGCTAAAAACCAAGGCAGGCACCGGCTGTGTAGGAAGGTCGGGATGTAAATGGAAAGGGAATCGTTTCTACAGCAGGAGTATGTTTTGTGACACAGCATCCCAGAAGTGGACCTTTCACCAGAGTGAAAGGTTTTGCCTACTGCATGCAGATATAATTTCAGCATTGCCCTTTCATTTAAAATACATAATTCTATTTATATTCCCTGATTCACTCTGACCTAAGGGAGAGATTAATTTTTTTACTGGGTATCCTATTGCCTGTGTGTGTGTGTGTGATGTTGCTTCTCTTCATTTAGACAACTAGCATACAGAATTTTTCCTATTTGTAATTAATTTCAGTTGTTTACTATCTGCTACTCTTTTTAAAGGCAAAGCATTGCTTACTATCAGAAATGTACAGTCCAAAAAGGTATTCCTGAATGTTTTATTTTGGAAGTGTAAAGGGTTTTAAAATAAACAAAAGTAAATATTCAAATACATTTCATATTGCATGTGGTAGGAGCGGCTCCATACAATACAATATGGATGAAGCAAATCTGGCAGTTAATTTCTTTGAAACATAGAGTATAATACATAGACACTTCCAGATCTGGTCTTATGTCATACATAACATTGCCTGACCTTTTTGTTATAATTTAAATCCAGCCTACTTTATTAATTATTAAAATTTTATTTTGCTATATTGATTGTTCAAGTTAGAAAAAAACCCAGTTAAAAACTACTGACTTTAGAACACTGCAAGACCCTAAGTACAGCAATCTCTTAAGAGAAATAATTTATTTTTTGAGAAAATGTCATTACCTGCAGATTAATCAATGCAAAATGAATGTGCAATTAAATTTAAAGCTGCAGACCATGATTTTCCTACTCCCAGTGCTGCTTGAAATCTCTCACACTTTTAAAAAAATATAATTAGCTTTAGATTTATCTCACAATAAATAACACCAGAACATACCTTGTGCTACCAACCTGAATTTAAAAAAAAGTAAGAGGCCACCTCAGTGTTTTGAGTTTATGAGATCTTTCAGACACAAAGCCCTAACAGAGTTTCCCAGTCAAAAGGCATCAGGAAGGCTCATCGCTTACGGTAAACTTGGGCTTTAGCTTGACAGACCTCTTCCTTATTGTGCCTTTAGGGGACAACGGCATAGTGTCCATAATGCTCCTGTCCTCCTCCAGCTGCCTAGCAGTGCACGAAGGGGTGGGCACTTTCACCGTGTTGCCAAATTTAGAGTAGTCCACAGAGTATCGCCCATCTTCCTCTGCCACGATGGGCACAAACCTTTGGCCCCAGAGGATTTCATCTGCCAGGTAGGAGGTTCTGGCTTGAGTGGTGATGCCAGTGGTCTCCACCACCCCTTCCAGGATGACAATGATCTCCAGGTCCTCATGGTGGTGAAGGTTCACAGGGGAAATGTCATAGAGGGGGCTATTTTTGTCTATCACATGGTAGATGATAAGTGGGGAGACGAGGAAGATGCTGTTGCCCCCTACGGGGTTCTCCATCTGGATGTCAATCTGGTTGAGGGGCACCACCTCCCCCTCCAGGCTGGCAGTCTTCTTCACCACCTGCATGCGGATGGTGGCACTGATGATCATGCTCTTCCGGAGGTCACCCACACGCAGCATGAAGCAGAGCTTGCCCTCGCGCAGGGCGATGACCGCGTGCTTGCTGAAGATGAGGGTCTCGGCCCGGCGGTGGGCCTGCGAGGTCTTCATGAAGATGCAGCCCAGCATGATGGCGTTGATCACCAGCCCCACAATGTTCTGCACGATCAGCACCAGGATGGCGGCCGGGCACTCCTCCGTGACCATGCGTCCCCCAAAGCCGATCGTCACCTGCACTTCGATGGAGAAGAGGAAGGCGGAGGTGAAGGAGTGGATGCTGGTCACACAGGGCACAAAACCAGCCGGGGTCCCCGCCACCCCCTCTCTGGGGTCGCGCTGCAGCCGGGTGCTGTGGTCCAGGTCTCCGTGGGCGAAGGCGATGAGCCACCAGACCATGCCGAAGAGCAGCCAGCTGCAGAGGAAGGACATGGTGAAGATGAGCAGTGTGTGGGGCCATTTGAGGTCCACCAGGGTGGTGAAGACGTCCTGGAGGAAGCGTCCCTGCTCCCGGATGTTTTTATGGGCCACGTTGCAGGCACTCTTGCCCAC